CCGTTTTTTATGAGGCAGGTCGCTTTGCACTGTATCTATAAAATACTTCTGTGAGAGCTGTCTAAGTAAATTAAGAAACTCATTTTGTCTATTTTTGATGGAGAAGACATTAAGGAGGGACGCTCATCTCTTCTAGCCTCCTCAATCTTGTTTTGCAGTTGTTAGGCCGCTCGTTCCATCTTTGGTTTGACCCTCCACGGGGTATCATCATCCGACTTTACATAGAGTCTCTTTTTTTCTTTCTTCACAACAATCTCTCCCTCTGTTTTTCTTATCTAAGTGAGTTTATTCCTTGTTGTATGTGTGTATATAATTGTATATGCGTGTACATTTGTACCTTTATTGTACTGTGCCTTGTTCTTTCTGTTAAAACGTGATTATATGTCAATTGTCAAATGAATGAAAAAACCTGTGGTTTTATCAATAGATATGAGAGACCCCTCCAGCATTTTAACTATACTGCTTCATAAAAATACATGTATATGTGTGTACACTGATTACATTATTCTTAAAATCTCTTCTCTCTCTCTCCTCTCACTTTGTGGTTTGATACTTCCTGCTATATATCTTCATAGTAGCTAGGGACACAATCAGCATATCATGCTCTCTTTCATCCCCTCTCCTCCCCTCTCTCTCTCCCTCTCCCTGTCTCTTTTACCATTGTTTATGTCTGCCTATAACTCCATTAGCCGTCTCTCTTGTCTGCATTCCTATCTTGACATTTGATACGGCGTCTATTTTACTCTTATCATTTTTGATATTATTTGAAATATTTATTTGCCCATTTATTATTATTATTATTATAAATGCTATCCTTTTTATTGACAGATAAGAGTGTATGTATGTACATGTACATGCACATCCTGAAGTGTGGCGTGTTTATGCGTGCATGTTTTTGTTGTTGCTATCCCAAGAATTTCTATTATCTATTTTTGAGTAAAGGAATATTAATTAAAAATGATTTTACATCTTCCCATTTATGAAATAATAATAATAATAATAATAATCCGGAATGATGATCATTTACAGTCTGTTGGCAGTAGGAGTAGTGAAGCGTGGTTATGCATGTAGCTTTTGTGGTAAATTTTACTTTAAGGAAACGAGAAAGGGATATTGAAGATGATGATGTACATGTACACATCATGTTTCATGAATCAGGATCCATTCACATCCACTTCCAAATTGTATATGTACATACATGTATATATGCATTAAGTTTCTCCTAAATTACCTAATGAATTTTAGGTACCTCTCTTAGGCAGGCAGACAGTCTGTCATCAGCATAGAACATATGTAAGAGGTCATCTTATATGACCTTGTGTCATTCCCCTTTATTGTGGTGTCCATACTCTCTTTTTTTCCATAATGTGCACTTTTGGGCTAATTTGTAGCTAGTTTTCCTGTCCTGGTTGTGTCTACAAGGTGCAAAGAGGGTGTAAGGTTAAGCAGCTGATCTTTTAGACATAACTTGCGCTCAATTTTTTTTGACATTCTGGCGTCATTTGTATGCCCTCTCCAGGTGTTGCTGTGTGATCTTTGGATTAAAAGGAAAGAGAGAGAGAGGTACTATTAAACATGCAGTATAACAGACACTCTCTATAGCGTACACCTCCATTTAACAGACAGCACCTAGTGTACCAATTACATTCCTTACTGTATAAAATAACCTCCACATAAAGGACACCTCTGTATAACAGAGACACTTTCTTGTCCCAAAGTACCCATTATATACATGTAGAGGCAATAACACATGTCAATTGAGTTTTTGTATGGCTGTAGTACAGTGCATGTAGGTGTGAAATTTAGTGATGCTTTCCTTGCTTGACCTTGCACAAGTTTATATTTTCACTTTCCCTTCATAGTAGGCTTGTGGTTTTTGTGTTGGTTTGTCCCAGAAGAGGCTAACACAGGAAGAGTGAGAGAGACATTGCAGTGTGCCAGTGTCAGTGTGTATTAGCCTTTACATAATGCACATGACCCATGGACACATCAGCTTCACTTGACCACTTCAAAAGATTTCTGCTATTTTGAGGATAGTCTGGTTTGGTCTGTTATAGACTTTAATCTAATGGAAGAACTGTCTATAGAATTGATTAGCTCCTTCTCTTTCATACCAAGTCTCTCTCTCTCTCTCTCTCTCTCTCTCTTATCCTCTCTCTCTCTCATCTCCATCATGTACAATGTCAGTTATCTTGTTATAGTAGTCAGCCTGTCTGGTATGCAGTTACTACTCATTTCTCTAGAACTGATTTTTAGTCTTTACAATGTACATAAATGCACACATTCACTGGAGTACTAAATAATAGTCTCCTACTACGAGTACAATGGGTACTATTCATGTTTATCTTGACTGTAACCCTATCATACAGTAGATACACAGACTACAGAGATGGTAAAAAGCAATTAATGCATGGAATGTGTCATTAACAGTTTCAAAGTGTCCATCAACAACGTCTGTTGAAATTATATTTTTAATGAATTCCTAAGCCCTACTGTGTATACATGTACATATGTACCGTCCCTGAACACATACACTTCTTCCTTTTAGCTCCAATACACTTTCCCCTTTCATTTCTCATACATAACCTCCTTCCTCTCCCTCTCTCTTCCTCTCTCTTTATTTCATTTGGGGCTCAGTGTTACCTGTCCCTTCCCTCTCCCTCTTAATCCAATTGTACTTGTGTACATTCGGACCTGTACTTTACTCTTTGATTGTACAAGTACATGAAGGTCAATGGACTACTCATTCAAGGGATGTAATGGATACTGGTCTAGATTATTATCATGACTATCATTAGTAGTACTGTACAACATATTATTGTAATTATTTATTTATTTTGTGAAATGTATTTTTAGGGCCCTGGCTAATGGCAGGGCATCAACACACAGTCTTGTTTATACACTTGGTGTACTTTCTGACCTTAAACACTCGTAAACACTAGCAAAGTTAATAATAAATAATGATAATGTTCACTATATGTAATAGCAATAGCCACACACACACTAGTACAGCTGTTATAGCGTATCTCTACATCTCATTGTGTGTGTGTGTGTGTGTGTAATGAAAAGAAATTGATTTTTAAATCAAGTTAGTCCAAATGATTGGACTGTGCCTGCCAATTCCAACACACACACATCTACTGCTAACAAAGTGCCTACATATGTACACATACATGTATACTCTTTGACCATCTTTTACTCAGCAGCTGACAAGTTCCCTCCTTTTTACCGTCTAACATATGTCACTCATAATCAATTGGTCGTGTAATTTCATGTGTAATGTACTTTTAAAAAATGTATTTCAAGCTCTCCCTGAGAGATAGAGTATGTCATTAGTGATGATTATTATGTGGAGGAGGGGACTAGGGAATGTGTTGCTATAGAGTATGTTATGGGTATAGCGGGTCCTACCCTTATAATCTGGAATTGTAAATTTGAAAGTTTTCCCGTTCCTTTTGCTGTTATTGCATTTTTCTATAAAAATACATTTCAAACTACATAATTACTTATGATAGTGATTATGATCATGGCATTCATAGCAAGATTCTAATTATATTCATAATTTACATCTACATTTACGTCATAAATGACACACACATACATGTACACACACATACACAGAGGATATGTTTGTTTTTCTGTGTCATACAAATGGGATTTATTGCACATGATCTATTAACTTAAGGCTCCTAGTGAATCAATGATTACCTCTACATGTACATGCATGCTCCAATTCTGATGTGAATATTATTATATTTTATTCAATTGTTATTTAATTTGGCGTGTGAGTGTGAGAGTGTTTTGGTGGCTTTGCTGCCTTTAAGGATCAATTATTGAACCATTATTGCTTATATGTATCGTTAATATATTCACTCTTATTAACTTATTACTTGAGAAGGCCTATGGTGCTTGTACATGTACATTTACATGGTACGTATATGTACATGTACACAGCTTCATTTCCTATTAGGTTACATGTACACATGTACATGTACATGTATATTACTGTCATATTGAGCAGTTTTTAGCTCTAATGATGTCTTTATGGTCATATTTAAATCTTCTCTCTCTCTCTCTCTCTCTCTCTCTCCAGATTATCCATCATGTCTACTGCAATCCCTGAATCCATAGCTAACCAATCCAGGATTGGTTATTATGAACTCGAGAAGGTCATTGGACGAGGTAACTTTGCCATTGTTAAGCTTGCGACCCACACTGTCTCCAAGATGAAAGTAAGAGACAAATAAACTTTATTTGTTGAGAGATGTTAAAGGATACGCATACAGTGAGAGGTCATCTTTTGATCTTTTTTGTTCTCAGGTTGCCATAAAGATTATAGACAAGTCAAGACTAGACAAAGAGAATTTGAAGAAGGTCCAACGCGAGGTGGAGATAATGAAACAGCTGGACCACCCACACATCATCAAACTTTACCAGGTAAACTATATGTACATGTACATGCACCTACATGTACATGTACATGTACATGTACTGCATACAGTAGTAATTCCATAAGAGTGACCATGTAATGTTTAAATCTATGCACCTCTGAAATGAGGACAGCTTTGTATCAAGGAGAGGTAGTGTCAGTCCAATACTAGAGTTGATATGATAGTGTTTGTCACCTTCAAAGGAGCCACTTGATTAGATTATAGTGGATTACAGGTAGATACTAGTATTTGATTAATTAAGATCCTCTTTGATATCTCAAAACACTAACGAATTAAAATTGACTTCATTATAACACATGCATAGTTACATACATGTACATCATAGACTGACCACATTATATGGACTGTGCAAGTTATTATGTAATGATGTACATCTTACATTGACCACATGCAGTACATGTACATGTAATAGAAACCTTTTGATTAATTAGGACCATGTACATGTACATGTACATGTACATGTAATATGGCTTAATTGCAGTAGTTTATCAAATGTATACATTCAGTGATTGCATTAATTTGTACATGTACATGTACATGTAAATGACTAAAATTACTTAAGATAGTGTTAAACCTTTATAGCTTTTACTTGTACATGTACTGTACTTTGTTATTGTTGTTGGGATAAAAGGTGGGAGTTGCTTTTAATACAGATCCTCTCTGGCTTCTATCCTTTACTATTCCCTTTATATGCTCACTATAATTCAATTAGAGTGTGTATGTGTACGTTTCATTGCTCTTTCTAAAGGTTGTTTATTATTAACTGTCGGTACTGTACTTCAACAATACATCATAGTAGGGACATTATGTACATAGGAACTTGAGGGGGCAAATAGGTGGTATTAGTGTAAAGATGTGATATTAGCAGAGATGGCTTCCTATATCCTTATATTGTGTGTGCCAATTAAAGCTTAGACTATGCAGAGACACTATGTCTACTGGTCTTAACCCGACAAGGAAAGGGACACAATCTTTGTTGTAGTCCTTTGGACCTATTAGCCTGTTGGTTTGGATGTGGGTGTGCTTTAATTGGAACAGTAAACTAGGTGTTTTCATGTGTGGAGTATAGTGTACATATGTACATGTATGTGTGTGTCTGGTGGTCATTATAATACTCTTCATCTTAGATTCTTTTATTTTGGCGGGGCTACTGTAAGTATTCTTTAAGTAGTTGCAGGTGTATAGTAACTGTTTACTCTTAGCTTGGTTTATATTCACTGATCCTTTACTGATAACATCCCATTTACAATGACTGGTCTGTGTCTAATTGAGGATCTATATAGAATGACATATTGTCTTACTTTTATCATAATTATCCTATTCTCTCTCAGACAGTGTACATACATGTACATGTACATCTATAATAATACTAGCTAGCTCTTATATAATATAATGTTATCCATTTTCTCATCTTTCTTTCCTCTCTCTCCTACTTTCCCTTCTCCTCCCTTTCTCTCTCCCTCTCTCGCATCCAATAGGTAATGAACACCACCCAATGGTTGTATCTTGTTACCGAATATGCTAGTGGAGGAGAAATCTTTGGTAAGCTCTTTCTCTCTCATTCTATTCTCTCATCATTGCATGGTCCCTGTAAACACCAACAGAAAATGTCTAATTAAATTCTGACGTATTATTACTTGTCGTATGTACTGCTTCTATGTATGTATACATTATGGTATATGTATTTGTCAATGCATGCGTATTTATGTGTGCATGCCTATAATACAATGTGCATGTAGTTATTGGTTGTGTTGTCTGTCTGTCAATTATTATCGTCTTGTCTTAGCATTGTTTTGTAACATCCAATATATAATGTACATATACATGTATATGTATACATGTATGCACTGTGTTATAGTGAATGTGCAGGAGGAGTGCATGTGTACATGTACTAGTGTGCTACATGTATACATGTACATGTTCAACATGTTTGTATTCTTCTCTCTCTCTGTGTTTGTGTGATATTTTGAGTAAAGAGATGATATCATTACTCTCTTTCTCTCGCCTTTCGTTATCTCTTCCTATCCACTCTCTCTCTCTCTCCCTTTCCCTCCCTCTCTCTCTCTCTCTCTCTCTCTCTCTCTCCCTCTCCCCCACAGATTACCTAATACAGCATAGGAAGATGACTGAGAGTGAAGCAAGAAAGAAATTTAAACAGATAGTAATGGCAGTTGACTACTGTCACAGCAGGGGGATCGTTCATCGTGATCTTAAAGTAAGACACATAATTAACAAATATCTCCTTTATTCTCTTCTCTCTCTTACTTCTTTTTACATGTGCATCTTTAATTTCTTCCCTCCATTTTCTTTTTTTTTAAATTTTACATTATTGGGTGCTTATTGACTTGTTGACGTTTGTTCATGCATTATTTTCCTGTATCAACAGATACATCATTACTTAGTATCAGATTAGATCTCATTCCTTCTAATAATTCATTTAAAATTGGCATATTTCTAATTCCTACGGCAATAAGAAATAACAACTCCAGCTAAATAGTATAAGAATGTGAAGCATCAAAATATCATGTACATGTACATATATAATGTGTATGTATATCTGACTTATTATTAATATTTTATTTAAACACTGTGCTGTAATACTATACCCTTTAAAAATAATTCTGACATCATTATACTGGTTTACAAATGTACCACTAGTATGTCTATCTTAATAGTAGTGATCTATGATCTATTGTGGTTATAGCTATAGCCTCACTGTCTGTCTTAGATACTCTATTAAACTGTGACCTCTATTATACTTCATAGAGATCACCCCATCACCTTATACACATACATAGCGACTACGTACAGTATTATGATCTAATGAATTAGACTATCTTTCTGTTGTTGTTTAGGCTGAGAATCTGTTATTGGACGAGAACTCAAACGTTAAATTGGCAGGTAAAAGAAATACAATATATGTACATGTACATGTACATACATGTGTATACATAATGAACTGTACAGTTGGTGGTGGTGTGTGTGAGATAGAGGGAGAGAGGTCAAAGTTGAACTTTTGTTGATTCTAACTACATTTACGTATATGGGAGAGAGGAGAGTGTCATACATTAATGATCTAATGATAGTAATTTCATAGTGTACATTAAATCAATTTCTAACTTCTCGTTTAGATTTCGGATTCAGCAATTCTTTTAAAAACGAGGAATTGCTCAAGACCTGGTGTGGCAGCCCACCATACGCTGCACCCGAACTGTTTGAGGGTAAAGAATACTCCGGACCTCAAGCAGATATATGGGTCAGTCTATAACTGTACACATGTAACTACATATACAGTAATAATTTGCAATATAAGTTATACAACATATATACATCTACATGTAACTATACATACAGTTGTAATGCGCTACAAGACATGTACATGTACATGTGCATGTACATGTACACGCAGTTAAAAGGCAACTTAATATGTTGATCGATGATCTTGTTTTGTAATATGATAAATTGGAAAACTCGTTTATCAGGTTACATTTAATTTGTTGTGTACGACAGCTGGCCTGTGTTATTCATTGCTTGAGTAATCTCAATATCAAATGTACTTCGCTCGGAATTTTATTTTTAAAAATTCTTTTTTTACTTCTCTTCTTCTTTTTTAATTTCTACAGAGTCTTGGTGTTGTGTTGTATGTGATGGTCTGTGGGGCTCTTCCTTTTGACGGTAACAACCTCCAGCATTTGAGAGCAAGAGTCTTAGCCGGGAGATTTAGAATACCTTTCTACATGTCTGAAGGTAATAATTTTATGTAATTGTACATGTACGCGTACATTTTCTGATAGATATACATGTTCTTATGTTATTTACCAAGTTTCAACCAATTTTGATCAAATTTGAATTTTTTATGAATTTTTAAAGTTACTGCCAAAAGCAAAAGTTGTGCCAGCCATTCATTTTGAATTCTATACTTGTACTTTGGTATATAATGCTGGGTCATTATTAATGGTTCATGGTATTTATAAAGCATATGCTCACTCTTCTCCCATTATCTCTCTCTCTCTCTCTTAGAGTGTGAGAAGTTAATCCGTAAGATGTTGCAGTTGGATCCGTCAAAGAGGATCCCACTCTCCAAGGTCCTGGAACACAAGTGGATGCAAGCCACACCCACCACAGTCGAGGGACCCTCCCCTCTTCGCTCATCTCCCCTCTATCCCCAAAAGACAGCCAGTGGTAACCTACTCTGGAACGAACAAGTACTACTCGCTATACAGAGACTACAATCAAGCAACTTTAGTATTGAAGCCGTCAAACAGGTTAGACGAGATTACATAAATATACATGTACATGTACATGTATGTTTAATGATACATGAAATAACATTTAAATGTTCATAAATGTAAATTTAACGATGCTTTCCCTTTCTCTCTCTCCTTAGGCTGTATTAAAGAAGCAATACAATGATCAGGCTGCCCTTTACTACATGCTACTCCACAAATGGGAGAAGGGACAACTCCAGATCCCACTCAACCCCCTAGTGTCCCAGCTCTCTTATCAAGGTCGCTACAGTACCAGTAGTCTTGCCTCATTTTCTGGAGTACCCCGTATCAATATTGATGGTGTGGGCTCCTCCTCTGGTTCTATGGGTATCGTTCCCTGGCAGAACTTTCACGGGCCGAGTCTGGCCCCACCCACAATGAACAACGCCTCAGACTCGACGATGGATGCTAACTTACAGCGATACCTCAATCAAGGGCGTCGTCATACTTTAGGCACCGCCCACAACATGTTGATAATTCCTCCGGAGGACATGAATCGATTGCGTAAGATAAACGAGTCCTCGTCGAGTCAAGCCTCAAGTGGTTTTGGTTCCAGCAGTACTAACGTGCCTCCAGTCCATCCCGAGATGCAGCCCCATATAATACCCACCCTATCCACTGGGATTGAAGAACCCAAGACTAGCATTGGGTCTATCGTTTCCTCTAGTCGCCAATTCTTGCAGCTGCCGAGGTTCTTTTCGTCGAAACGTCGTGCTTCCGATGGCGGGCATTATTTAGAAGCATATCGTCAGTTCCTTCATAAGAGAAGCAGTACAATGTACTCACATCAAGCTAGCGTTGAAGGAGGTGTGGTCAGCGCTCAACCAACGACTGCTAAACAATTGTTACAAGAGAAGATTGAAACTGATCGGTTGTACGGCCGATTGCCAAGACAAAAACTTCCTCATAATCCTCACCTTTTGTCCTCCTCTGGACTAGAGAGCTCTAATATTATAGCACAAATGGTTCAGCCAGTGCAGCCGCTCACCTCAAGCACACTCCCACTTCCTGTCCCAATGGCTAACCTCCGAGAGCAATGTCAGCCTTTCCACGACATAACGCAGCAACAGATCAGGGAGCAGCTTGAGCAGCTTCACATGTCGAACGGGTCACCATCAGATCACGGCAGTCTGCCACACGCGCAGAGTAGTGGCGTCGCTTCTGGTGGCTCCTCAACCTCGTCTATAAACTCCAGAAAGAATTCAAGTGGAAATAACTCAATAATCGCTCAGTTGCTTGCCGCTACTCCTCCCTCAGCTAGTCCCTCTTTTCCAACCCAAATGGTTGCTACCTCAATGGCTTCTTCTGAGTATGACGGAGCCTCTACCTCAAACGAGCGAAGATACTCGATACAACCTTCGCCTCACTCTTCACTAAATCCTCCTGTCACTAGGCATCATCGTAAGACTCTACCAGACCTCCACCCACAACTAATTATTGTTGAACCGCCGGCGAATCTCCACCCGCAAGCTTCGACCTCGTCCAGTCTGGGTGAGTCGTCACCTGAGAGTTCGCTAGGGGCAACAGCCAATGCGATTGGTCGTAGGAGTCCGCCTTATTTCCAGGTGGGTAGTCCGGGAGAGGTTGGATCTCCTTTGCACTGGCAGGAGAGACAACGAAAGACTGGTATGAGCCTTCAACCGTCACACTTAGGAGCTTCGAGTATCGAAGATGATTTTTGTAAAGGAGTAACTATACCAAACCTTCCTGATCCCCAGTCTTCTATTGTACCTCAGCCTTTGCAGCAGCAGCAGCAGCAACACGACATCCTACAGCAATCAGTCCAGCAGATACCGATATTCTTTAATCAGCACATCTCTCTCCTAAATCCTAACGTAGCCAACCAGATCGCTCACCAGCAGATGTCTTCTCTCGTCCATCACATCTCCAACGTGCTAAGTAGTTTCAAGATAGTGTACCAGTGCTCAGGTAATGTCTTCACCATCTGTCATAGAGGCGTGGATTTTCAAATACACGTGCAAGTATCGCCACACTATGCCATACAGAATGCATTACAGCTGAGTCTGCAGTACATGCACATTGGAGGTGACTCACAACTTTATCAAAGTCTGTGTACTGAACTAGCCCCTCATTTTGTCCCATCTGTACAATAGCGTTATTATTATTATTATTATATTTTCTTCTTCTCTCTCTTGTACACATAGATCTACATTCTTTCTCTCTCATATTTCAGTTACTAGAGCTATAACTTATTAATAAATTAAAATAATTATTTTTACAATAATTATTTATTATTTATTAAGTGTCAATAATGAATAATAAATTAATCTTCTCTGTGTGTTACTTTATGACTCCGCCTCTTCGTACAGTGAATATAAGTCTTTTCCTGTCAACGGCTTCCCTACTACATAAGGTGCTTTGTGCGACACGTAAGGTTTTAACTGTAAAATGAGAAGAAAATAAAACTACATTGTCATTCTTATTCGTTACAGGCTAACGTCAAATTCACTCAAATCTGGCACGACTATTTCAGGAATCATGGACTTCACCACACGAAATTGCCCTACACAATTATAATATCTACTGTATATACATGTAATTAAAATGGATTTCCAAACCATTCCTAGTGTGGAATCCAGTCGGTTTGCAGCCTCTTCCTACAAGAGAATGATAGAGTCATTTAGTTTAGAGGCTCCTTACCTTTATAGAAACTTTTCTTTCCGTCTTTACTAGTCAATACGCGACGTCTGGCTCCCAGTAGCAAAAAACCGAGCTTCATGTTTGTAAGCACGTTTGGATGGGTGGAGCTGAAATCTAGCCACGCCTAGAGGAGGAGCTATCCAGCAAGCGCCATTTTAGGTGGAGCTCAGTTGCAGTTGTTGTTACTTGGCGTCAAGATGTCAACTAAAAGAGCCAGTGCTAGGAGCAAGAGACATCACTTGATGCCTACAGCACAGAGCACTGGAGAAATAGAGAGGACTAGACAAGAAGCAGTGGCAATGAAGTCAAAAATCAGATCAGTGAGTTGTAACAGAGCCTAGGACTTTTTGATGATTCTTCTTTTATTTTAGTTAGAGCTTGAAGTGGAGACCTTAAAGCAAAGGCTTGAAAGTCTTAGAAAAGCAAAGAGCACGACTATTATAAAGAGGGAGAGAGAAGAAGTGCTCATACAACCACCAAATCTTGGCAGACGTTTCTCTGCTTTAGACACCTCTTCAAATTCCTTGACAGCCTCAAAGCAAAGCTTAGCATCAAATAGCCACTCAGAAATGGAAGGTAAAAGAACCGATATATCATAATTTTACAATACATTGCTTGCAAGGGAAAAGTACATGTAATTAAGATTTCAATGTTTAATAGGAAAATCTTTAATGCTGCAAGAAGAGTTGCAGCAGAAGGAAGCTAAGTTGAAAGAAAGCAGAGATGAAATAAATAGATTATCCAGTCATAAAGTAAAGTATGAAGAGAAGATAGATCAACTGCAAATAGAGCATCAAGGAATCGTAAAAGAACTTAAGAACAAACTGCAAGAATGTCAACTTGAGCTAAAGAAAGAAAGTGAGAAGCAGCCAGCAAAGAAGGAAATTAATGTGCATGTCAAGGTAAAGCAAATTTTAATCTTTCTGTAGAGATTTTTAAATGTTAAATGCTTTTAATAATATACAGTGTGTATCTTTGGAGGAGAAGGAGGACTTGTTGAAAGAAATGGAAAAGTTACGCATTGATAACAAAGAACTTGCCAAACAATTATCAGATATCATAGATGTTAATGTTCAGCTAAGAGAGAGCAACCAACTACTGCAAGAGAAATGCGAAGTATTACTGGAGGAGCTTAGTGTGAAGGAGGCAAAGTGGACAGAGAGAGAGGAGAAGCTTCAAGCAGAAGTGAGCCAATGTCAGAGTAAATGATGTTTATTTGATTTTTGGAATTATTTTCCTAAGATTCGAAGACAATGGGGTGAAAGATATCACGAGTGGATAACAAAAGCTGAGAAGAAGATGGAGGAATTGCAGAAAGTGAATCAACTATTGTAAGTGATTATTATTATGTAGCAGTATCACTCACTCTATCATTTAGACAAACATTGCTTAGAAAAGAAGCTCCAACGTAACAAATAACAAGTTAATAAAAACACAACAATATTAATAATAATTTTAGGAATCAATATAACAATAATGTATCCTAATGATAATACTTCTAACAATAAAGATACCAGCCAGTGGTGTGTAAAATAAATCTAATTTCAGGGGAATTAATTATAATAGGTTGTTAGTCTTATGCCCAGTCAAAGAAACCAATGGACTTCAGATCAGTCACTAGTGAGCCATAGTCTTCCACTGAGAGTGGAAGAAGTGGCAGACGTGGTGGACCAACATCAAATCCTCTAGCCTTTAGTATAGCTTTACCAGCTCCAACACCTCCAGCTAAAAACAGAGAGAGTGAAATTATTATTATTTCCACTAATAGTCGTACCAATGCTTGCATATTTCCTTAGAATCATAATGGCATCATCAGATCTTCTCTATAATCAATAGAATGTCATTATAAGAATGATCACAGCAGTGTAGTATTTACTTGCTCTCTTAGGGCAGATTTAAGATCGCCTTCTTTAAAGTATTTGAGGAGTCTGTTGTTTAGTAGACCACAGTAATTATATGTAGAGCCAACTGCAGCTATACCACCCATTGCTAGTGAAGCCAGGAGTTGCTGCAAAATTATACAAGAAATTAGATCAAAAAATTAATGGCTAGTCCAGAAAACAATTATTGATTTCTGAAACGTGCTGTGTATTCTGAGCTGATTTTGACCAAAATACAAATTTTTGCCTTTGGTCTTTGATTAATTTTGTCAAAAATGGCTAGGAGAGAGTTTTCCATTTTTAATGTTTTTTTTCTAATAGATATACATGTCCTTATGTTGCATACCAAGTTTGAGCTGATTCTGATTATAATTTGATTTTTTAATGAATTTTTAAAGTTATTCAAAAATTGGACCAACGACCATGAGTTATTAGTAACGCAATAGCATTACAAAGTAGGATTCACTCTAAAATAAAATGGCTGCCACATGACAAGCAAAAAACCCATTTGTTCAATTGTCACGAAATTCGTGACAAACAAAAACCCATTGGTTCCATTGTCACAAAATCCGTGACAAGCAAAAAACCCATTTGTTCCATTGTCACTATAAATCCAGGGCTATCACCAGATTTTTGAGTAACTTTAAAAATTAGTAAAAAATCTAAATTTGATCAGAATCAATTCAAACTTCAATGTAGTAGAATTATGTAGTATCACTCACTAAGAATCTACAAACATTGCTTGGAAAAGAAGCTCCAACATAACAATAAAACATCAATAAAAACACAACAATTATTGATAATAATTTAGGAATCAATATAATGTATCCTAATGATATTAATAATAATACTTCTAACAATAAAGATACCAGCCAGTGGTGTGTAAAATAAATCTAATTTCAGGGGAATTAATTATAATACGTTGTTAGTCTTATGCCCAGTCAAAGAAACCAATGGACTTCAGATCAGTGACAAGTGAGCCATAGTCTTCCACTGAGAGAGGAAGAAGTGGCAGACGAGGCGGACCAACATCAAATCCTCTAGCCTTCAGTATAGCTTTAGCAGCTCCAACAACTCCAGCTAAAAATAGAGAGAGTGAAATTAAAACGATACAGGCACTATTTCCACTAATAGTCGTACCAATGCTTGCATATTTTCTTAGAATCATAATGGCATCATCAGATCTTCTCTATAATCAATATAAAGTGCCATTACAAGAATGATTATAGCAGTAATAATATTTACTTGTTCTCTTAAGGCAGATTTAAGATCACCTTCTTTAAAGTATTTGAGGAGTCTGTTGTTTAGTAGACCACAGTAATTATATGTAGTACCTATTGCTGATGAACCACCCATTGCTAGTGAAGCCAGGAGTTGCTGCAACAATTATACAAGAAATTAGATCAAGATAGCTCCAGAAAATGAATATTAATTTCTGAAATTTATTTTGATCAAAATTTTGATCAAAATTTGGGCCAATGACCTAAGTAGGAATAAAATGGCTGCCACATAAGAAGCAAAAAGAAATTTGGTTCCATTGTAATAAAATCCATGACAAGCAAAAAACCCATTTGTTACATTGTCCCAAAATCTGTGACAAGCAAAAAACCCATTGGTTCCATTGTCACAAAATCCATGACAAGGAAAAACCCTTCGTTCCATTGTCATGAAATCCATGACAAGCAAAAAACATAAGTTCCAATGTCACAAAATCCGTGACAAGCAAAAAACCCATTGGTTCCATTGTTACAAATCCGTGACAAGCAAAGTTCCATTGTCATAAAATCTGTGACAAGCAAACACCCTTCGTTTCATTGTCACAGAATCCGTGATAAGCAAAAAACCCATTTGTTCCATTGTCACAAAATCCGTGACAAGCAAAAAAAACCCATTGGTTCCATTGTCACTATAAATCCAGGATTTTCACCAGATTTCTGAGCAACTTTAAAAATTCGTAATAAAATCCAAAAAATTAATCAAAACTTAATTCTACACAACATAAGAACATGTATACGTATCAGAAAAAATTATAAAATTCTCTACTTTTCATTTTTGGCAAAACTTGGCAATACAGGGACTTTGGCCCAATTTTTGAGCAACTTTAAAAATTCGTAAAAAATCCAAATTTGATCGGAATCAGCTCAAACTTTCTACACAACATAAGAACATGTATATGCATCAGAAAAAATCATAAAAATGAGGAATTCTCTACTTTTCATTTTTGGCAAAATTTGACCAAAATCCCTGTACTATAGTACAGGGTCATTGGTCAAATTCCGTCAAAAATGGCTATGAGAGAATTTCCCATTTTTATATTTTTTCCTGATACATATACATCTCCTTATGCTATATATCAAGTTTGAGCTGATTCTGATCAAATTTGAATTTTTTATGAATTTTTAAAGTTACTAAAAATGACCCTGCGTAGCATGGCTGCTGGTACATGCTTTTCCCTTACCTCATCCCTGCCATACATAATTGGAAAGGACCCTTTCTCGCAAGCAAGACAACGAGTAAACTCCATCATGTCCTCGTCGGTATACTTGAGTCCCCGCAGTGTTGGTATATCAGTCACTGCCGCCTTTAGGAGGTCCTCCATTGAGAACTTGACGCCAGTCAGCACAGGAATATGATAATAGAATAATGGAGTATTAGGAGCTGCTTCGCCGACCTTTTGAAGATAAAGGACAAGAGAGTCTAAAATAATACAAAGAATAGGAATTCATTTTATGATCATAATTATAGTGAGGCCAACCAAGAGATGGAGGCTTGATGTAAGAAGGCGGCATAGCTCCAATTGCAGCTGCACCATTCTGTTCAGCATGCATTGCCTTTTTAAGAAGAGATTGCGATTAATAAATAAATTTAAATCCATTTTTACCAGATCACAGGTGCTCTTTAAACTCATACTTCCAACATGAATAATAACAGTCATCCTAAATAAATTTTTATTTATAACAATGGCCTCTTCTCTCTCTCTCTGTCCTACCTCTTCCCAGCTACTTTGAGCCATTCCTCTGCAACCAGTTTCCTCTCTTCATCAGTTAGACTCACTCCCTCTCCAGTGGTACCATTAACTAGACACAGCATGATAAAAACAAAATGGCGGCGGTGATTAAATTACCAAATACAGAGCGAACTCCTTGCTTCAACAAGAAATCAGCATAGCCTCGTATTACACGAAGATTTACTTCACTAAAAATAACATAAAGTAAGTATACTAACAAATTACTATGTTATACTGACCCATCAGAGGCAAATGGTGTAAATGTAGCAGCTGTAAGACCTTCTATCTTTGTCACATCAAAGCCCTGGCATTAAAATATTAAAAATAATAAAAAGAAATAAAATTTTATCCTTATACTTTTTGTTTGGGTTCGGCAGTGAGTGTTGGAGAGTAGGAGAAACTTGGAGATGGTAGCTTTCTAGTAGCTACTAATGGAGTCCGCATTAATGGAGAAGATGAACCTGAAGCTACTAAAAGAATTAAATAAAAACATGCGAGCTTTTGGCTAAAAAATAGCAGATTAAGCTCATACTAAAAACTCACTTTTTGATTTCTTGTAACCTTTCTCTGGACTTGATAGAAGGACGACCGGAGATGGCGTGGTAGTATCTGTCTCAGTTGTTGTCTGAGTCTTTATTAACATGTTAATGTACAGCTTTCTATGTATGGTCATGGTGTATGGGGAGACATTTATAAACAAGTGGTTTCATGGTTCTTCTCTTTACCTGTTTGCAGCATCAATAGGTCCAGGGTTCTTACCAGCATTTTTCAAAGCATCCCTCAGCTGCTCGTTGGTGTATGATTCGTATTCTCCTTCTAAATCAGCTTCTTTTCTTGTCCTTTTTTTGGGAGGCATACTGAATGCTTTCTTTGGCACCACACCTATAAAGTAAACCTCCGTATATTCCCACCGTATTCTCCAACCACGTGCTCTCACGTGGCTTCTCTCAAGAAATTTTTCAATAATTAAATTAAAACATTGTACATGACATAAAAATAAAGACAACAGATTACATTACTGACTCATCAGTTATTTGACAATCCTTCTGAGTGACCTTCTCTTCCGGCTCCAAATACACAGCATTGCTCACTTGATACATATCTTTTTTATACTTCTTGTTAATCCTTGCCAGTATAACCACTGCTATTACTAGCACTATCAGTGTAAGGAGACTACAGAAGCAGGCAACACTGACAGTGATGTACACAATGTATGATGTTCCACTTCCTGATATACCAGTTGGTAACAATTCCACAGAAGAGGGAAGAGAAGGGATAGAGACTCTCCCAGTTGAAGAGGGAAGAGAAGAGAGAGACACTCTCCCAGTTGAAGAGGGAAGATAAGAGAGAGACACTCTCCCAGTTGAAGAGGGAAGAGAAGAGAAAGAAACTCTCCCAGTTGAAGAGGGAAGAGAAGAGAGAGAGACTCTCATAGTTGAAGAGGGAAGGGAAGAGAGAGGGACTCTCCCAGTTGAAGAGGGAAGGGAAGAGAGAGAGACTCTCCCAGTTGAAGAGGGAAGAGAAGAGAGAGACACTGTCACAGCTGAAGAGGTAAGAGTAGAGAGAGAAGAGAGAGAGGAGAAGAAAAACTCTGAGCTACTAAGATGACTAGCTTGTGTATTATATTGATGAGTAGATGAAGATAAAATATGAGTATTTATTTCAGACGACTGGCTTACAAGCAGAAGTGAGTCCGATATTGAAGGTTCTATGTTAAAAGGTGATGAAGAACTTAATAATTTCTCACTGGACGGCACAACTGAAGGAAGATTAAGAATGCTTGATGATGATTCAATAACAGAACTGGTATAGTATAAAGAAGAAGTAGAGTATATGAAAGAACTGGCTACTCGGCTGCTGATTAAAAATTGAGCTATAATATAAAGAAAAAATAGTAATATTATTATTGCAATTATTTTACTGCTTACTTTCATTTCCGATGCCACAAAAAGGCCCACTAAAGCCATCAGTGCAATTGCAAAAGTAATCACCAGCATGTATGTAACAAGGTGCATCATTAAGGCAAAGATTATCTTCACAGTCTTCATACACTATAATTTTGCAAATAAAAAGAAAAATGTGCAGCTTTCATGCAATTATTATTATTACCTGGTATTTCACAGAATTCTCCATCATAGCCATTGGAGCAATAACAAGTGTCATTTCTTACACAAGCTCCATATTCACAAGATGGTTCACATACAGCTGCAAGTTAACATGGAATAATAAAATAAAAATTATAATCAATACTTGGAATAAATGCTTCTTCTATTGTCCTCTGTTCTTCTTCAGTTTCTTTCGTGGCTATTCCAATGGCAATATTGTTAGTAGCAGCAGCATCAAACAAGCAATACTGATCCTCGCCACAGGCCTGTCAAGAAAAAAATGAAAATACTAAATAAGCTAAAAATAATTATAGTCCCAGACCTCTTGAGCTTCTTCTTCAAACTCTTGGTTACGAAACTCAACTTCAAAAAGAGGCACAAAATCAGGTTTATAGAAAGTGTGCCAACCACCATTGCTCCCATAAGTGAATATACTGTACCTTGGATCATGGATCATCCCTAGATAAAGATATATACAATAAAAGCATTAATAAGTTTGTAGTAATTATCCTTCCTTACATGTTAATCCAAACTTGTAATGTATCTCCCTCAATGTAGCATTGAGTAATAAAGGCACACTGGAGTTCCTTGGTAACAGATCATCACTTGTGTCTGTGTTATAAGAACCAAGGAGACCCTCAGTTTTATCGTAATAAGTATCAGTCACAATTATAGAAGCTTCCAGAAGGACATCAATTTCCTTTACAGTGATTGTAATGCCAGTGTTCAGCTCAGCTGATGCTGTGGTGTTATCAATGCTTGTTAGAGTCACGTTTCTAAATTCTTGTTCTCCAAGTTCGTTAAAATTTATCTCATCACCATTGACAAGTGTTATGAGTTTATGATTAAACAGTTCAAACTGGACCGTGTCAGAATAAGCATGTCTGACCACAACTGCAGTTATAACTGTCCCTCCTTCATCTTCAAAGTCAAATCCAGTACGATTAGTTTGTTCAGGTTCCACCATTCTCGCTTGCAGCATCAAATCGGAATGATCCAGTGATTGTAAGAGGATGAATTCACCGTGTCCATTAAAAGTAAATTTATGTCCATCCAGAGACACTAAATGTGGATCACCAAAGACTCTACCTATTAATTAATTAATAATGTATGATAGTCAGAGTGTAAATAATGGCAGGAAGATGCATTATTTTATGAACTCTGAGCACCATCAAAAACCAAAGGCTATGGTCCAATTTTTGAGCAACTTAAAAAATTCATTAAATATTCAATTTTGATCATACCTATAGAAGTTCTGTCAGGCCAGTCCATGCAGTTGTCATTGGGTCTTTTGGTATAATATCTGTTACACGCTTTAAAGAAACCAGAGCAACAAAGATAGAAGGGAGTAACATCAAACCTTAAATGACCTGTATAACAAAAAGAAGAAAGATTTGATGCTAATAAGTATATGAACTTACCAATGATAGATACCCAGTCATTTGGATACACTCTGTACATCCTTCCACCTCCTATTCCTGTTAAAAGTCTGCCTCTATCATCATAGCAGCACTGCTGACTGGAGCTATAAGATCTAATAATAATATAGACAAGTGCTTATACTAGTTTTACAATAGGAACATTTGTATAGACAATTATGCATTGATATAATAAAGGTGCATCTAATTTAAGCCTACCCTATGCTCCTTTCTCTGAAGCAGCTTGCAGCTTTTGATTTCTTAAAGAAGACTCTACTAACAGTGAATTGGAACGGAGTCTCTTTCCTGTACCTACTGTCACTCATCATCTGCAATAACGTACAAGGACATGGAGGGAGCCTCCTTGGCAAGCTCTCAGCTCCATCATCATAATTATACCATCTCTCACAGGCCAGCCTCTTTGAAGTGTCACGCTCAATTTTACGAACAACGTAACGCAAAACAGACTTAGTGACCCTGTTTATGACTGCAGCAAGAGGTGGTGGGACACTGCTCTGTGGATTGACTGATACTGATAGTCTTATTTGTACTAGTCTAATGCTTAGTGCACCAATCTCTGGATAGTCTGGGATTGTTAGTGTCTTTTGTGATTGAGCGTTAGGAATGTTAGTAGCAAGAATGGTCTCTTCTTCCCATTCACTTCTACCACTATCAAACAGGATCTGTATACAAAGAAAAAAATACAAAATTTTACTTTTAAAATTAATTCATGGAATAGTAAAAATTGTCACTGATTTTATTTGATACATAATGTATTGTATTTGTAGCAATTAATCGTACCATTGCAATGCTAATGGTAACATCGTTGACTGGAACAAGACCTTCAGTCATGTCTAGTGGGTTCCAGCTGATACTGAATGTCTCGCCCACGCCGAGTGCAAACTCTTCAGTAGTCGTGTTAAATGGATCCTCAAAGTCACTCACAAATGGTGAAACTAAAAGAAACAAGTGCACAATAGCCAATTGATAATAGCAAAGCAATAATAAATTGGTTTAATAATATCAATGACAAATTTTGAATAGTGTTTGTAAGTTAAAGTCACACTTTCCCATTGTCAATTATTCCCAAAAGAAACTGAACTACAATAATCTTTTAAATAACAAACAACACTACTACTCAAATACAACTAAACATTATGCATTATGAATTAAATTTGATGTTTATATTGTTCTCCTGTTGGTTGTGCCTGAACTCTTCCAATTGTTCAACAGGATCAAAGTTTACATTGTTCTCCTGTTGATTATGACAGAATTGTTCATCTTGTACAATGTAGTTAATGTTTGTATTGTTCTTCTGTTTTTTGTATCGATCCTCTTGTTCCATGTACCTCTGGTAATGATCATCAGCAATTTGATGAATATTAACTTCATTCTCTCTCACACGATACTTGTAACGTTTAGCCAGTATCACAAACACTATCAGGATAATAAGAAGCAAGACAATTTTTGTTAGATGGTAGTATAAATTTGAGCAGATACCCTGATGCTGATAATGGAAAATAAAACTCAAACCATTTTTTATACAATAACCAATCTGCCATGAAGTGTACCATATGCCCACCATCAATCCTCTTGTCTGCACTGGTGACTGAGCTACTACAAACTCTAGTGAAACAGGATTCGCTAATACATAAGATATTCCCATAAGTATTTGTGAAACAAGCTCCTTCCATGTATTGTTCAAAAATGGTAACATAATAGGAATTCTTGATAGTAAAGCAATGACTAGTCCAAGACTCATTCTACGTAGCACATTAGGGACATACTTATAGAAAAAGACTCTAAAGAAGTACAAGTACATCATTATTAGTATAAATGAACCAATAAGATGTATGGCATTATTTGACAGTAGGCAGACTGCAAAAGAAGTTCCATCATCCAAAAAAAGATAGTTAAACTCTAAGCTGAGGGAATACCCAATTATTGCAATGAATAATGGTATTATATGAAAGAAAGTCTTTACATCTTCTACCTCTTCCACTGTGAATGGTCCACCATATTTATCTTTACCAAGGTCTATTCTTGAAGGAGCCTCTTCCTCCCAGTAGGTCAGAGCACTACGATTCTCAGGATACTTGTGCTTCCTGGCATAACACAATACTCTAACTATCAATTTGATGGGATTCTTGATCAGTGACATGTTCTCCAGTTTGTGTTTGAAGAATGAATGAGATACCAGTACAAGAGATACAGCTACTCCTGATAGTATAAACATGATCAAATTATGATATTTATAAGTATCAGAACAGTTAGCCAAATGGAAAAGTGAATGCTGGATTGGCAAAGCAGCACAGTGCCAATATATCACAGTGCTTAGTTCATCAGCTGAAGCTCCAACAAGTTGATCAATGGTATACTGAATAATGTTAGCAGTAAACAAAGCAAAGCCAATGCACTGAATCAGGCTATATACTAACCACAGTGCTTCATTAGAGACATCATAGTTTTGTATGATAAGCCCAATCCCACTTATAATCCATGATATAAAACACAGCACTGTACCAATCAGTATAGCTTTATACCTTCCAATCCACACATCAGCCAATAGACCAAAGAAAGGAAAAGAAATCACAGACCCAATATAAAAAATAGATTGCATACAAAAATTAAGCCTTACAATGGAGAAATACAAATTAATTCCGAATTGAAAGTTCAAAAGGTGATCCCAAAAAAGAACTAAGGCAGCTGCAAAAGTGGTAATGAAAACAAATTTAAATTTCCTTGCCATGACAGAAATGGTCCTTTACGCTTAATATCACAACAACTTATATAAGCATACAATGAAACTAAAAGCATACATTCTTATTTGTGTAAACAAAATGCAGTTACATATAAGCAACCTTTACTACACGTAAAAAAACAATATAATTATTCTTACATCAATTATTATTTTGTGTACAAATAAACTCAATAAAATAATTATAAATCGCAGAATTAAGAGATAGTTGAAAAAAGAAATTTCTATTTTTCACAGCATAACACTTAGTTAATGAAATTGAAAGCATCATTAACACAGCAGTTGTTTTTGAAAGTACATTGCAGTAAATCACACAAAAATTGCTAATAATTAATTTGAGCTAATGTCCATACTGTTGTCCTGGTTATTGTATTCTTCTTCTAGTTTCATATAATTTTGATATGTACGATCAACAATATGATAAATATTGATGTCGTTCTCTCTCACACGATACTTGTAACATCTAGCTAATAGTACAAACACTATCAGGATAATAACAAGCAGGACAACTTTTGTGACATAGTAATAAAAATCTGAGCAGATAACGTGATGTTCACAATGAAACATAAGACTCAAACAAATTTTTAAAGTAGCACCAATCTGACATGAAGCATACCATAGGCCCACCATCAATCCTCTAGTCTGCACTGGTGACTGAGCTACTACAAACTCCAGTGAAACAGGATTGACTAAAACATAAGATATTCCAAGAAGTGCTTGTGAAACAAACTCCTTCCATGTAATGTTTAAAAATGGTAACAAGTAAGGAATTCTTGATAGTAAAGCAATGACTAGTCCAAAACTCATCCTACGTAGCATACTAGGAATATACTTGTAGAAGAAGACTCTAAAAAGATACAGGTACATTAGTAACAGAAGTAAGGAACCTGTATTATACAGGATGTCATTAGATTGCAGGCACGCTAAAAATGAGGTGTTGTCTTTAGATAAATGATAATAATGTTCTTTATTTAGTACATACCCAATTACTGCAATGAATATTGGTATTATACGAAAGACAGTTTTCACATCTTCTACCTCTTCAATTGTGAAAGGTCCACCATATTTATTCTTACCCAGGTCTAGTCTTGAAGGAGCCTCTTCCTCCCAGTAGGTCAGAGCACTACGATTCTCAGGATACTTGTGCTTCCTGGCATAACACAATACTCTAACTATCAGTTTGATGGGATTCTTGATCAGCGATATGTTCTCCAGTTTGTGTTTGAAGAATGAATGAGACACCAGTACAATAGATACAGCTACTCCTGATAGTATAAACATGATCAAATTAATATATTCATAAGTATCAGAACAGTTAACAAAACTAAAAAGAATTGACTTAAGTGGCGAAGCAGCACAATGCCAATATATCACAGTGTTTAGTTCATCAGCTGAAGCTCCAACAAGTTGATCAATGATATACTGAATAATGTTAGGAGTAAATAAAGCTAGGCCAACACACTGGGCCAAATACGCTAAGCCAAATGCTAACCACTGCAATGCTTCAGGGCCATCATAGCTTTGCATGATAAATCCAATCCCAGACATAATCCATGATATAAAACATAATATCATACCAATCAGTATAGCTTTGTATCTTCCAATCCACACATCAGCCAATAGACCAAAAAAAGGAAAAGATAGATAAAGCAAAGACTCAGTATAAGTAAAAATTTCAATATGACCATCAAATTTCAGATAGTACCAATAAATTCCAAATTGAAAGTGCAAAAGGTGATCCCAAATAAGAACTATGACAGCTGAAAAAGAAGTAATGAAAACCAACTTAAGATTCTTTGCCATAGTCAGGTTCCTTCACAGGACAACAGAAACTGAAAGCATGCTGCACTAAGTTATCACTGAATGATGTTTTTAGTAATAAAGTATAATAAAATAAACAACAAACAAACTAATTAACAACAGAGATGATGTCTATATTGTTCTCCTGATTATTGTATTCTTCCTCTTGTTTGAAATAATTTTGGTAAGTACGATCAACTATCTGAACGATATTAACTTCATTCTCTCTCACACGATACTTGTAACGTTTAGCCAGTATCACAAACACTATGAAGATAATAAAAAGCAAGACACATTTTGTTAGATGGTAATAGAAATTTATGCAGTTATCCTGATACTGACAATGGAAAATAAGACTCAGACAATTTTTTAAATCAAAGCCAATCTGCCATGAAGCACACCATATGCCTACCATCAACCCTCTAGTCTGCACTGGTGACTGAGCTACTATAAACTCCAGTGAAACAGGATTCACTAAAATATAAGATATTCCAAGAAGTGTTTGTGAAACAACCTGTGTGAATATACTGCTTAAAAATGGTAACAAGTAAGGAATTCTTGATAGTAAAGCAAAGACTAGTCCAAGACTCATTCTACGAAGCATACTAGGAATATACTTGTAGAAAAAGACTCTAACAAAGTACAAGTATATTAGTATAAGAAGAAGTGAACACACAGTATGCAAGGCACCATTTGATAACACACAGACTAAAAAAGAAGTGTCAAGATAGTAATGTTCTGCACTTAAAGAATACCCAATTATTGCAATGAATATCGGTATTATACGAAAAACAGTCTTCACATCTTCTACCTCTTCCACTGTGAATGGACCACCATATTTATCCTTACCCAGGTCTATTCTTGAAGGAGCTTTTTCTTCCCAGTAGGTCAGAGCACTACGATTCTCAGGATACTTGTGCTTCCTGGCATAACACAATACTCTAACTATCAGTTTGATGGGATTCTTGATCAATGATATGTTCTCCAGTTTGTGTTTGAAGAATGAATGAGACACCAATACAAGAGATACAGCTACTCCTGATAGTATAAACATAATCAAATTAAGATATTTATAAGCATCAAAACAGGTAGCAAAACTAAGAAGCAACGATTTAAGTGGCAAAGCAGCACAGTGCCAGTATATCACAGTGTTTAGTTCATCAGCTGAAGCTCCAACAAGTTGATCAATGATATATTGAATAATGTTAGCAGCAAACAAACCTAGGCCAACACATTGGGTCAAATAAGCTAAGCTATTTACTGACCACCATGCTTCAGTAGGAGCATCATAGTTTTGTATGATGAGTTTAATCCCAGACATAATCCATGATATAAAACACAGCACTGTACCAATCAGTATAGCTTTATATCTTCCAATCCACACATCAGCCAATAAACCAAAGAAAGGATAAAACAGTACAAATAATACCCAATATAATAAAAATTCAACTTGAGAACTGGGTTTCAGAAAATATGAACTGGAACCATTTTGAAAGTATAAAAGTTGATCCCAAAGTAGAACTAAGACAGCTGAAAAAGAAGTAATGAAAAGTTTCCTTGCCATGACTAAAGTATTCCAAAATACATAACACTTTACAAGGAAAATAAAAGTATATAACAATCCTTATAAAGTTGTTTATTTTGAAAGTGTCAACTTTAAAGTTTATACTAGCAACTGTTATTTATTGACTGAATTTCCCGTAAGAATGACAGTGAAAGCGCAATCATGCATGACGAATAGCAAATTGCTACAATATTTTGCAAGCAAAGCATAATAATATTGACTATGTCACTAACTGTATCTGTATTGTGTTATTCCACTAAGAGTAGCCTCACTCCTCTTAATAGTGATCCTAAGATCAGTCAATCCAATATCATGAGCTGGTGGTACTACACAGAGACACTGGGTCTCGGTCAATATCAATATCAATGAAAAAATTTGATTAGCGTTTGTGAGTTAAAGTTACGCTTTTTCATTGTCAATTATTCCCAAAAGAAACTGAACTATAATAATCCTTTAAATAACAAACAACACTACTACTCAAGATACAACTAAACATTATGCATTATGAATTAAATTTGATGTTTATATTGTTCTCCTGTTGGTTGTGCCTGAACTCTTCCAATTGTTCAACAGGATCAAAGTTTACATTGTTCTCCTGTTGATTATGACGGAATTGTTCATCTTGTACAATATAGTTATTGTTTGTATTGTTCTCCTCGTTTTTGTATTGATCCTCTTGTTCCATGTACCTCTGATAATGATCATCAGCAATCTGATAAATATTAACTTCATTCTCTCTCACACGATACTTGTAACGTTTAGCCAGTATCACAAACACTATCAGGATAATAAGAAGCAAGACAATTTTTGTTAGATGATAGTATAAACTTAAGCAGATATTCTGATACCCACAATGGAATAAAAAAGCTGTAAAATATGATAGAATACGACCAATCTGCCATGAAGCATACCATATGCCCACCATCACTCCTCTAGTCTGTACTGGTGACTGAGCTACTATAAACTCCAGTGAAACAGGATTGACTAAAACATAAGATATTCCAAGAAGTGTTTGTGAAACAAACTCCTTCCATGTAATGTTTAAAAATGGTAACAAGTAAGGAATTCTTGATATTAAAGCAAAGACTAATCCAAAACTCATCCTACGTAGCACACTAGGAATATACTTGTAGAAAAAGACTCTAAAAAAGTACAAGTATATTAGTATAAGAAGAAATGAACATCCATTATGCAAGGCATTATTTGATAACACACAGACCAGAAATGAAGTATTATTATCATTGTTTAAATAATGTTCTTCACTTAGTGAATACCCAATTATTGCAATGAATATCGGTATTATACGAAAGACAGTCTTTACATCTTCTATCTCTTCTACTGTGAATGGACCACCATATTTATTCTTACCTAAGTCTAGTCTTGAAGGAGCCTCTTCCTCCCAGTAGGTCAGAGCACTATGATTCTCAGGATACTTGTGCTTCCTGGCATAACACAATACTCTAACTATCAATTTGATGGGATTCTTGATCAGCGATATGTTCTCCAGTTTTTGTTTGAAGAATGAATGAGACACCAGTATAAGAGATATAGCTACTCCTGATAGTATAAACATGATCAAATTAAAATATCCATAAGTATTAAAATAGGTAGCAACACTAAGAAACAATGATTTAAGTGGCAAAGCAGCACAGTGCCAGTATATCACAGTGTTTAGTTCATCAGCTGAAGCTCCAACAAGTTGATCAATGATGTACTGAATAATGTTAGCAGTAAACAAAGCTAGGCCAACACACAGAGTCAAATAAGCTAAGCCAAATGCCAGCCACTGCAATACTTCAGGGCCATCATAGATTTGTATGATGAATGCAACCCCAGACATAATCCATGATATGAAACATAATATCATACTAATCAGTATAGCTTTGTATCTTCCAATCCACACATCAGCCAATAGCCCAAAGAAAGGAAAAGATAGATAAAGTAAAGACTCGGTATAGGTAAAAATTTCAAAATGATCATCAAATTTTATATAGTACCAATCAATTCCAAATTGAAAGTTTAAAAGGTGATCCCAAAAAAGAACCAAGACAGCTGAAAAAGAAGTAATGAAGACCAACTTAAGATTCTTTGCCATAGTCAGATTCCTTCACAGGATGACAGAAACTGAAAGCATGCTGCACTAATTTATGGTATCACTGAATGATGTTCTTTGCAATAAAGTATAATAATAATAAACAACATACAAACTAATTAACAATAGAGCTGATGTCTATATTGTTCTCCTGATTATTGTATTCCTCTTCTTGTTTGAAATAATTTTGGTAAGTACGATCAACTATCTGAACGATATTAACTTCATTCTCTCTCACACGATACTTGTAACGTTTAGCCAGTATCACAAACACTATCAGGATAATAAGAAGCAAGACAAGTTTTGTTAGATGGTAGTACAAATTTAAGCAGATATTCTGATGCCCACAATGGAATAAAAAAGCTATAAAACGTGACAGAATAATACCTATCTGCCATGAAGCATACCATATGCCCACCATCACTCCTCTAGTCTGCACTGGTGACTGAGCTACTATAAACTCCAGTGAAACAGGATTGACTAAAACATAAGATATTCCAACAAGTATTTGTGAAGCAAGTTCCTTCCATGTAATGTTCAAAAATGGTAACAAGTAAGGAATTCTTGATATTAAAGCAAAGACTAATCCAAAACTCATCCTACGAAGCATACTAGGAATATACTTGTAGAAAAAGACTCTAAAAAAGTACAAGTACAATAGTATAAGAAGAAATGAACATCCATTATGCAAGCCATCATTTAATATCCCACAGACCAGGAATGAAGTATTATTATCATTATTGAAATAAACTTCTTCACTTAGTGAATACCCAATTATTGCTATGAACATCGGTATTATGCGAAAAACAGTCTTCACATTTTCTACCTCTTCCACTGTAAATGGTCCACCATATTTATCCTTACCAAGGTCTATTCTTGAAGGAGCCTTTTCTTCCCAGTAGGTCAGAGCACTACGATTCTCAGGATACTTGTGCTTCCTGGCATAACACAATACTCTAACTATCAGTTTGATGGGATTCTTGATCAGTGGTATGTTCTCCAGTTTGTGTTTGAAGAATGAATGAGACACCAGTACAAGAGATACAGCTACTCCTGATAGTATAAACATGATCAAATTAATATATTTATAAGTATCAAAACAGTTGGCAAAACTAAGAAGCAATGAAGAAAGTGCCAAAGCAGCACAGTGCCAATATATCACAGTGTTTAGTTCATCAGCTGAAGCTCCAACAAGTTGATCAATGGTGTACTGAATAATGTTAGCACTAAACGAAGCTAGGCCAACATACTGAGTAAAATAAGCTATGCCAAATGCTAACCACTGCAATACTTCAGGGCCATCACAGCTTTGTATGATGAATCCAATCCCAGACATAATCCATGATATAAAACATAATATCATACCAATCAGTATAGCTTTGTATCTTCCAATCCACACATCAGCCAATAGCCCAAAGAAAGGAAAAGATAGATAAAGTAAAGACTCGGTATAGGTAAAAATTTCAATATAATCATTGCCGAATTTCAGATAGTACCAATCAATTCCAAATTGAAAGTACAAAAGATGATCCCAAATAAGAACCAAGACAGCTGAAAAAGAAGTAATGAAGACCAACTTGAAACTCTTTGCCATAGTCAGATTCCTTCACAGCACAAGATTTAATTAAAAGTAAACTGGTAGTAGGGGTGGATCACTGGATCTAAAGGGTGGGCCAGGCTCACCCAAAAGTTTTCTGTAGTAATTTAAAATCAACTTTTTCATGTGAATGACTATGTAAACTGTGAAGCATGACTATGCAAACAATTTGTAAACCACAAAGGAGTTCATTTTAACAGCTGTAGTCTTCAAAATTTTGACTTTGATGCAGGCTTTGTTGGCCACACCCAATAATTACCACACCCATATCATCAAGGCCCACCCAAGAATCCAATCCTAGATCTGCCACTGACTGAAACAATAAACTACATTTTGAAAGCGCGATAACAAACAACACACATACAAAGGATAACAGTGAAAGGGCCATCAAGCATGGAGTAACTCAAACATGTTGCTAGCAAAACAATGCAATATTTGCAAGCTAATACATTAACTATGTCACTAACTGTATCTGTATTGTGTTATTCCACTGAGAGTAGCCTCACTCCTCTTAATAGTGATCCTAAGATCGGTCAATCCAATATCATGAGCTGGTGGTACTACACAGAGACACTGGGTCTCGGTCAGGTAGACCCCGTCAGTTGCAAGAGTACCAAACTGACACTTTGTAATATCATTCAATTCAAAGATAGGTCCAGACACAAATAGTAGTTCTCCACCAAATATCGATCCGAACCTGCGACCAGGAATAACTGGGTATGACCCTGTAATCAAGTAAATAAATAAATAAATAAAATGATGATAATACTGTACCTTGACAAGCTACACCAGCATCTTCATAGTGTCTGCAATATTCAGCATCCAATACATCTCTACTGCAGTTTAATAAATTACTCTCAGTACCAGTACACTTTAAACCAGATAGAAAAATTGGCCCTAATCCTTGATCGTAAAAAGCACCATAACGTGGTCTAGCTCCTAAACAAAAAAATGTATAATTTGTTTCAGCATAATATCAATGTCATTCATATATACCTGAAGGATAGAGTCCTAGTTGAGCACAAACAATATTAGCATCAATAGCATCCCATCCTCTATCACAGACAGTGCCCCATACTCCATCAATACAGATCTCTATCCTTCCTTGAGTCAGCGTACGACCGTCAGTCAACCTAACCTCACCATGACTGCAATTAGAATATACAGTATCGGCCCCTAGAAAATAAATAATAATTCCAGTTTAATACAATTGTTATTTCTATTGTTTTAAATCCAGTTTAATACAAACATTACATATACACATATTTATTCATACTAAATTGCACTACCTTGGCAGATTACTCCATAGTCAGTATCTCCAATGCATGCTTGAACGTCTCCAGCTTCAGCAAATTCACATTCTTCCATTGAGCTGATGTTCTTATGACTTGGACAGTAAATATTAGCTCTATATGATGGTATTAACGGAGCAGAAAACCTCTCCTTGATAACAACAACACCTAAGAAATATATATATATAATAAAACATCATTATTTAAATTGGAATATTTTTCTTACCATGTGGAGAGTAGCCTAGTTGTCTACACACTACAGAGCCTGCTTCATGAGGAAATGAGCAAACTCTATGCCAAATCCTGTTCCTACACAAATCAACACGTCCCATGTTAGCATATGGAGTACCAATAATACGAACTGATAGCTCGTCACAGAGTCCTATAACACAATGAGATTTACATGTAAAAAATTACAGGATAGACTCCTTTACTTTCACACTTGGCACCAGCAGCTTCTCCATTACAAGAGAGTAGAAGTGAGTAATAGTTTCTGCTGCACTTCAAGAGATTGCTCTCTTCTCCGTTACAAGCAAGACCAGACAGAGAGAGTGGATAAGAGCCTTTACCATAAGCGGACCAATACACTGGCTCTGCACCTGTTAATACACAATAGAACAGACTGCATGGTGAATGTTCTTCCACTATACCATATTTCTGATGTCCTAGTTGATGACAGATTACGTTAGCATCCATTGTGTCCCAGCCAGAATCACACACAGTCCCCCAAGTATTGTGAATGCAAACTTCAACTCTTCCTTCAACAGGAGAGGGACCATCCACTAGCCTCACTTCACCATGACTGCAGTTAGCATATAAAGTATCTGCAGCTACAATAAAGAATAAGAAAAAGAATCTATTATTAGTAGGGAAATATTGTTCATACTTTGACATATGATACCAGCAGGCCATTGAGAGCTACACTGAGTATATGAGGTCTCTTTAGGACTCAGGTGAAGCAGACATTGAAATATTGTATCTTCGTTCCCAGTACAGTTGACATCATGAGCACTCATTGATAAATCATCATATACCAATACACCATATGCTGCCATTGATCCTATCATAAATGTACCAGAATGAAGCATTAAAAATCTTAAAAAGTAATAGTATTGGTGTAAAAACTACTGATATTACTATTGACATCATCACAAAATATGATGAGTTTTCTCGGAGCTATTTTTGATGAAATACACCGTGTACTATAGCCCATCATGGTTTTTGGTTGAATTTTTCAGCAACTTTAAAAATTCGTAAAAAATCTAAATTTGATCGGAATTGGCTCAAACTTGATAAATAACATAAGAACATGTATATCTATTAGAAAAAATATAAAAATAAAGAATTTTCAACTTTTCAATTTTGATGAAATTTGGCCGATGACCCAAGGCTATAGCCTTTGGTCATCGGCCAAATTTCGTCAAAAATGACTAGGAGGGAATTCTCTACTTTTATAATTTTTTCTGACAGATATACATGTTTACATGTTATTTATCAAGTTTGAGCCGATTCTGATAAAATTTGGATTTTTTATGAATTTTTAAAGTTACTCCAAAATTGGGCCAATTACACATATAAGACCAAGATAGCCTTTGGCCTTTGGCCCAATTTTTGAGCAAGTTTAAAAAATTCATAAGAAATCCAAATTTGAATGGAAGTTGATATACAACAAAAGAACATGTATGTGTATTTAAAATATAAAAATTGGTGCCATACCATATACTGAATGACCTAGTTGTCTGCAGATGACAGCTGCATCAACATCAGACCAATGATCATCACATATTGTAGACCACGTTCCATTTACACACACATCAACGCGACCAATCAACTCAGAACTGGGACTACTTAAACGTACCTTACCATCAGTACAAACACCTAATAAAAATATTCTTAAATGACGCACGTGAAAGTTAATTTTCCCATTATACCTTCACACTGTACTCCAGCAATGTCTCTGTCAGTACAAGACAGTAAACTTGACAGGCCATTTCTAGGACACTCATGCAATCTCTTCTCATCACCATAGCACAGAACAGTTCCATATACAAAGGATGGGCTCAAAGACACATTGAAATGATTATTAATATAATAAGTAGAGCCTATGCAAATAAAATGATCAAGAAAATAAATACTAGATTGAAGTGGGCTTCCTTACCATAAGACTGGTAGCCTAGTTCCCTGCATATTACATTAGCAGGAGTAGTGCCCCAGCCATGACTGCAGATTGAGGACCAAGCTTTATAATAGCACATTTGCACATTACCCTCACTCTTGTTCCTTCCTCCTATCAGCCTAATATCACCATCACTGCAATTACTGGGCAAAGATGAGCCTTCTGCTATCAAAAGGCCTGCAATGAAAAAGAAGCATTATTAGTACAAATTTATTTTTTATTTATTTTAATTATTTATCTTACTCATGCAGAAGACTGATGCATCACTGTTTTGCTGACAGAATCCTGTATCATCAGTGGTGTTGTAGGAACAGTCCCATATGGTTGATTCATAGCCAGTGCAGTTAAGATTAAAGAGACTCATAGGCCACTCGTAATTCACAAACAAATTAGATCCCCACACAGCTCCTGGATAATAACAAATAATAATCATATAAATATTATTTAATTCGCTAACCATATCTTGAGTGTCCTAGTTGATGACAGACCACGCTAGCTTCCTTTGAGGTCCAGCCATGATGACATATAGTGTACCAGCTCATGTTAATACAGACCTCCACTCTACCTCTTAACCCTGTACTGTCATCATTCAATCTTATATCACCATTAGTGCAGGGAACTGGTACAAAAAGAGAAAGATAGAAATAGGAGAAGTGTAAAATTAAAATATTAATGGTGTCATACTTTCACAAGTAATGCCAGCATCATAGGCATGTGTGCATCCGTCCATACTGCAGAATGAGATGTGACATTGGATGAGTTTAGACTCAGTACCATTGCATTTAACATTAGTTAATAATATAGGACCAGACCCTGGACCAAAAGACCTCACTCTAGCACCTACAAGTACATACAAAGCATCAATTACAAAATAGTACAATATACTATTAATATACTGACCTAGTGGTAGGTATCCTAATTGTTTACATACAACGTCAGCGTCTTTATCGTCCCATTCATTAGTACATATGCTGCCCCATGCTTCATTGATGCATACTTCAACTCTTCCTTCATGAGGTCCACTACCACCTACCAATCTCACGTCTCCATTAGTACAATCAGCTCTTACTACAGAGCCTAGACCTTCAATTAAAAATAATAATAATAATAATAATAATAATGTAATGTATGATTTAATGCATGCCTTGACAGATGACGCCAGCATCTTTGTGTGTATTGCAGTCATGAAGTGAAGGATTGGTGTGCGTACAGTTGTCAATGTGTAGCTCAGATCCAGTGCAGTTTGTGTAAGTGATACCAAATGAAAGCTGACCTTCAGTAAAACAATCAAATGTTGGCAGAGCACCTGAAAAAATTTAGTAAACTTTAGTAATTTTATAAGTAGTTTTATGCTTTTTTTCTTACCAAATGGTGAGTGTCCAAGATTACGACAAGCTACCTGAGCATCATCATAGCTCCAGTGGATACTGCATATTGATGTCCATATGTACTTGGAACAGAATTCAATTCGTCCAGTCAGTGGATTGGTAGAACCTGATAGCTTGACTTCACCATTGGAACAAGTCTCTAAAAATAAAGATAAAATGTATGACTAATTAAATATGGTTTTACCAAGACATGCTGTCCCAGCTACAGATCCATCCCCACAGTCCAGGAGTGCATACAAGTGGTCAAAGCTACACTCAAGCAGTGACTCCTCTTTGCCTCCTCCAGTGCAGCTAAGAGACGATAGAAGATTAGGACCAATACCATGACCGTAATAACTCCTAATGAATACAACGGATCCTTAAGAAAATAAAAGAAGTAAAATAAATAATAGTATTATCTATAATTAAAGATATATAATTTATTATGTATTTTATAAACAAAACTTTACTTTAATTCATATCCTTACCAACTGGTTGAAAGTGAAGTTGCTTGCACACAATATTAGCATCACTAGTCTGCCATCCTTGATGACAGACTGACCCCCACATCTTATTATAGCAGACCTCAACACGTCCTTCTAGTTCATTAGCTCCACCCACCAGCCTCACATCACCATTACCACAAGAAGTATCGACAGTGACATTATTATCTACACACAGTATACAAACACCAGTGTCAAGGTTATATATCAGTGTCACTCACATTGGCAGATGATGGCAGCATCGTTGGTATGATCACAGGTCTGTGTGGTGGCAATGGTGTAGTGACAGTCAAGAACATTGGACTCTGATCCTGTACAGTTTAAACGAGAGATGACGACTGGTAACTCATAATTATAAGAGAAATAGATACCAGGAGGAAGACTAATAGCACCTGGAAATTTAAATATTAAAAATACTGATTAATCTCTTCTTATTATGAGTACCATAGGGTGTATATCCTAAATGTCTACATACTACACTTGTATCAGTGTCTTTCCATTGGTCACTGCATATTGTACCCCAACTGGTTCCATTGATGCAGACCTCAACCTGACCAACAGTGTCATACAGTGATCCTGTTAAACGTACATCACCTCTCCTACAGTAATCTATCAAGAATGCAATATAGCATGTTATTGTAGAGGAAGTATTTTGATCGTTAAATAAAATCAATATGCATATTATAGAGGATTTCTTGCTTTGTATTGCTGTACAATTACTTTAATCATTACTTACTCTTGCATTTGGCTCCAGTGTATATGTGATTGCTGAAAGTGTAGTCTATATTGCAGCTCAATGGAGTCTTGTCACAGTCTAATAGTGTAACTGCCGTCAATGGACAACCAGTGAACTTGAACGGAAACAATGGGAGGAGTGGAAGATCAAGAAATGAGTCAGTATAGCCTTCAGAATCTTAAAAAAAAGAGAAAGAGGGAATTAAAAAATAAAATAGGTTCCTACCAACCTTTATCAGAGTATCCTAAGAGACGACAGATGCTCTGTGGTTTACCAAAACTATTGTAAAGTTCACCGCACACTCCAAACCAAGTACGACCATAACACACCTCCAGTCTGCCTTCTAATGGAGAGGAACCACCTGATAGTCTAATCTGACCATCAGAACAATTATTATACTCTACCTCATCAGCTAAAGGAAGGAGAGAAAGACTACTAACATATTAAAAGTGTTAGCGACTGACTTTTAAGACATGATACAGCAGCATTGTTAGTCTCATTACAAGTATATTGCTTCAATAAACTATTCATGCTACAGTCCCAGATAGATACTTCTTCTCCGGTACAATTCACATCAATCACATGAAAAGGTCGCTCAATCCTGCTACTAACATTACCCATAAACAAAGCACCTAAAAGATATTCAAATATAAAGTGCAATATTAAGATGTAGCTTTACCTAATGGAGAGTAGCCTAAGTGCCTGCATGCTACCATAGCATCATCATCATCAAAAAAATCACTGCAGATTGTACCCCATGTCCCATTAATACAAACTTCAAGGAGACCAACCCCTTTATGATATCCAGCACTTGGAATCAATCTCATATCTCCTTCAACACAATCTATCAAAAATAAACAATCATTACTATATCAATATTAGTACTACTATACTATTAAATCAAGACTATCATCATTTATTAATAGCTAGATTATGTTTTTCTACTTACAATGGCACTTTATTCCAGCGCTATCAACTGCCACATCACAAAGTAATGAAGAGTCCTTATAATATACTTCAATAGAACATTCACTGAGCCTTTCCTCATTACTATCACAATGTACATCAGCCACCAATAGAGTATCAGTGGCAGTGAATAGAGCAGTATATACTAATGTACCTATAAAAGGAGATATATAGTCATATTTATGTATTATAAAATATCAATATAGTACTACCTTCTGCAGGGTAGCCTAATTGGTGACAAATGACTCCAGCATCTTTAGTATTGAGCTGTTTATTGCAGACAGTGCCCCAAGCATTATTGAGACAGATTTGTAAAGTTCCTTCATTAGGTGATGATCCATTAATTAACTTCACCTCATAATCAGTACAATTTGAATACTGAAGACCCAAATCTGTCAATAAAATAAATAAAATTTGATACACAATAATTTTTGTACATTAATACCTTGACATATGACAACAGCATCATCATTAGATCTACAAGTTGATTCATTATTTGGTTTTGTGTTATAAGTACAGTTCATTATGGAGTCCTCGTTTCCAGTACAATTAACGTTATAAATATTATGAGATAGTACAATTTCTGAATAAACATCCCTCTTAGTCAATGCACCTATTAAAAGAATGCATTGATTATTTATTACAGAGTGTGTGTGTGTGCGTGCGTGCATACCAAAAGGAGAATAGCCCAATCGTCTGCATACCACACTAGCGTCATTATTATCAAATCCATCAGAGCACACAGTGCCCCATGTACCATTCAAACACACTTCAATCCTTCCAGAGCTACCATATCTACTACTGCCTCTCAATCTTGTACTACCATCAATACAGGGAGCTAGAATAAAAAGAGATTGAGTGAGATACATATCTCTAGTCTTTAAGCTGCTTCTTTACCTTCACAGATAATGGCAGCATGATATGAATGAGAGCAACTCGAGGAAATATAATGTCTACAATCAATGAGTTTGTTTTCATTCCCTGAACAAGTGAAATAAGAATAATGGACTGGTCTAACACTATGACCAAACAATCTTGATACAGTCGCACCTATATAGAAAAACAGAATGAAGTTGTACGTATACAATGGCTCCTTTATACCAGTGGTAGTGTATCCAAGCTGTTTACAGGCCACCCTTGCATTGTCATCTTTCCAATAGTTAGGACATATTGAGCCCCACACTCCTTCATAACATATCTCAACTCTACCTTCATTACTTGTCTTACCACCCACTAATCTTAGACTAGTCTCTGTACAATTATCACTGCTAAAAGAAGAAGCTGTAGACAAATAATAATAAATAAATTAGTAGTGTAATTTTATTTTTTTCTAACCTGTGCATGTGACGTATGCATCATTATAGGTACCACAGTTATTATTAATGACATTGTGACTACAGTCAAAGAGTGTGTCCTCATTCCCTGTACAGTGTAGGTCTGATATATGAGTCCTTTTCACATTCTCTGTATATGAGCCAGTACCAGCTACAGCACCTGCAATAAAATTCAATAATAAGAAATTAATATTACTATGCATACCTTCTGTTGAGTATCCCAGTTGTCTACAGGCTACTCTGGCATCATTAGTGTCCCAATATTCATCACATATTGTCCCCCAACTGCCACCCATGCAGACTTCAACCCTTCCTGTCAGCGGAGTATTACCACCAAGCAACCTTAATGAGCCATCCTTACAATCTAACATACATAAAGAGAATAAAGATATAAAAAGTATAGTGAAATACTTAATGTATGTACACATAGTAGATTAATTTATCAATTGTATGTACATGTACAGCACACATTTTTTGAAGTGGATAGTTATGTGTAAGGAATTTCAAATTCTCAATTAATTCAAGCACTGTTACTACTCACAGCTGCACTTGACTCCGGCGTCATTATGATGAGTGCATTGCTTGTTATATTCTGGATTTTGATTGCAATGGAGTAGAGAGAGTTGGGGTGAAGAACAGCGAATGTAGCTCAGTAATATTGGGCCTGATCCAACTCCAAAATGAGCACTGTGGTAAACAACTGCATCTAATAAAGGCAGGCAAAAAATTTAAAAAAATCTATTATACAGCTGCTACTGTACCTGGTGTAGTGTGTCCTAGTGCATTACATACAGTTTGAGCCTCTTCGTAACCGAACCCATACCTGTCACAGACAGTGCCCCAAGCATTATTGAGACACATGTGTACAGTACCCTCGTACTCTGTGGCTCCTCCTACCAGCTTGATCTGTCCATCAGTGCAATTTGAATATTGAGAACCATGAACTGAGGAAAAAAAGGAGCATAAAAGAATAAATTTTAAAAGTTATCATTTAAATACTAATTACCTGGGCAGATTATGTTGGCATCTTCCCATGTGAAAGGACATACGCTGGCAGACTGGACCACGGGGCAATCAAAAATGTGAGTCTCATTCCCCCTGCAGTTCAGGCCCTCGTAGAAAGTTGGATCCCGTGTGTCGTAAGTACGAGACTCATGGATTGCAATTGCACCTGTCAATGAAACAAAGACCATGACATATAGTAGAGGTACATGTATTACATTGAAAATGGCTACAAACATAATTTTTATATTTTTTGTTACATATACATGTTCTTAACTTTTTACATTATTTATGAATTAATCTGATCAAAATTGGATTTTTTAAATATCAAATTGAACCTACCATAAGGTGAGAATCCCAATTGTCTACAGAGTACACTAGCATCATCATTATTCCAGTAATCATTGCTACATATAGACCCCCAGACTCCTCCTATGCACACTTGAACATGACCAGAATAATCTCCTCCTTCCCTAATCCTCACCGCTCCAGTAGAACACTTCTCTAAACAACAAATCATTAACAAAATTTTATGGGTTAGCATCCAAAATTTTTACATACATGCAAATTTTCATAAAGGAGTATATTATTTTATAATGTAGCTTTTACCAATGCAGCTCAGTTCCACAACTTCAAGAGAACAGTGAGAAAGATCGGAGAGTGGAGCAAATGTACAAGAACTTAGTAAAGTCTCGTCTCCTTGACAGTCGATCCCGGGAATAAGAGTCGGGAACCTCCTATCGGTGAAACCAAGACTATAAGAATTATCTAATGAGAGAGAAAAAGGGGAGAAATAAAATATTAATAAAATTATAAGCATAATATTATAGTATACATCATTATCTAAAGATATCAATTCAGTCATATAATAATACTTCATGTATAAAAATACAGAAATGGTCACAATACTATACCTCCTTATCAAAATCAACAGTCTAGTGACGTCA